TAAATAAAGAAGCTAATTAAGAGTTATATACATTTATGTCTCACTTTTTTGTTGGCAATTAATTGTATGCTTATACATTTATTGAGCATTTATTTATTTCTGTATTTATTTTTAAATATGGCAGAGTTGGTCCTTCATACACGCGGCCTGCAGCACTTCGATTGAAAGTCACAAGTGGTTGTCTGAGAACGGGATAAGATGTCGGCCAAATCATTGGTTATAAAATTCGGCTATTTAAATCACAAAGAATATATTTGTAAAGCAACATTGAGGAAAAAAGCATACAGAATTTCAAAGCATGGAATTCTGTGATTACTACACAGAATTACTGAATAAAGATGTTTATGTTTATTCCAGTTCTGTGTGTTAAATATCTAGATGTTTTAATGTGAATGTGGGTCTTTTAGATCAATTTTAGTGATTTTGATCATGTTTCACATTTTATTGTCACATACTGGCGCTGGTCTTGGTCTTGACTCGGTCTCGACTTCCCTTGGTCTTGGTCTTGACTCGGTCTCGACTTCCCTTGGTCTTGGTCTTGACTCGGTCTCGACTTCCCTTGGTCTTGGTCTTGACTTGGTCTCGACTTCCCTTGGTCTTGGTCTTGACTCGGTCTCGACTTCCCTTGGTCTTGACTTGGTCTCGGACCCTAAAAGTCTTGGTCTTGTCTCGGTCTTAATACACTCTGGTCTTGGTCTTGGTCTCGGGTTAGGTGGTCTTCACCACAACACTGCCAGTCTGGTCCATGAATATCTGTATCAATCCTGAAAAGTAGTCTGCCCCGGAGCAGGTTTGCCGTTTAGAGTAGGTTACCATGGTGACTAACCTTGCTGAGGTTAAATCTGGCTTTGTGGTACCAGAAAGTCCAGGTTAAACAGGAACTTGGCTGGCTAACCCAGTAATCCTGCTTCATGCTGCTGCTGATGATGATGATACTTTTTTTAAATTTCAGACAGACAAACCAGACCAACAAAATGTAATAACAAAAAATACTTTCATTTTTCTAAATGTTAATACAATACCTTACTATCAAATTTACATACTCAAATACAAATTAATGCACAACTTATTCAGTGACTGTGAGTCTGTAAAGGAGTATGATGAGGTTTAACTTTTATAAAAATTCCCTTTTTCCATTCCTTAATTCATACCATAAATAGTCATCTTGTTACCAGTATCCTTTCCAAAAAGAGGCAAAAAACAAAATAATAATAACTATATTGTTATTTCCTATACCAGATTAAAATAATACATACACCAATATATAAATACATACACATCTAACTGCATATATACATAAATAATATATACCTATTTACACACCTGCATATATTTACACATACATAGACAAACCTGCACCCAATTTTCCAAGTCATCCCTAGTGCTGTAATTCCCTGCTGAATTCATCATCCCAGTCCATCCTTATACTGTTCAATAATAACCATTTTAAGTCTTTTTTTTTAAATGGTAAAGGCATATAAAATAAAAAAGGACAGACCGTACAGTTAGGGGGAAAACAAATACTTTAGAGATGTCAAAAAGAGCATACTTGGATTTGAAGAAACATAAACTTACTGGGATGAAAAATTCCCATGTATATTTGTGCCTTAAAAACAACAGATTATTTACAAGTTATTGTGTGGCGAAGTTGCAACATATCTGGAAAGGTTGAACAATTGTTTGATCTCACCATCTTGGAAACCAGAGTTGATTCAGAATGGCTCCAGAAAAGATGCCTAATCTGTTTTAAACTGAAAATCTAGTAATTTAGGGCTCCCCATATTTAGGTGAAAACAAAGCTATGTTAAATTAGCACAGACGGATTCCCTGCTCCAGGTAGTAATAGTCATAATCACCAACCAGAAGCAGATATGTATTGGCCTCGTGTATTTCAGAGACACTCTAAAACTTTCATCATTAATTTATTAGGATCTAGATGAATGTTTGTTAATGTCTAAGTCAGGGTGAACCGTAATGATCCTCTGCAGATTAAAGAAAATTCACAAAAATACCAAACTTCTGCCTTGGTCTTAGATTTTAAAGCATGTGCGGTTGTACATTTTAGACAAATAGTTCAAATAAATAAATAAAATTTCCAAAATGCTGTGATATTCTTAGTCAGAATGAGTTCATATAAGCCTCACACCAACATTTAATGTTTTAGTTGGTTTTCATTGTTTAAAGAACTCTCTGTGATGTTGGTGCATTAAAAAAGTGCTTTATAAATAAAAAGGAGTTAAGCTAACGGCGGAATATCTCACATGAAATAATGCAAAAATCAATTTGTGCTTGTAGCGTGGAAAGTGTGCAGGAATGCTTCCCTGTTTGATTCCACATCACATTATTATAATTCTTCGTCTGCATCCACTTACCCTCTGTCTCCTTAAATCAACTTCTATTTTCATCTTCCTCCTCCTCTCCATCTTGCTCTCTCCCTAAGTCTCTAGCCTGAAGGACTGTGTTTTTGTGTGTGTGTGTGTCTCTCTCAGTGAAGCACTTAAGTCTCCCCCTGTGTGTAGAGGCTGTAATGAGGGCTGCCAGCTGTGCCACAGAAGCAACACACACAGAGTGTACATCTCTAATCTTAGATCGAGGCAGCAATGGACAGCACATGACATAATAGGCTACCTTTAAGTTTGATTTTTTTTCTGCTGAATGATAAAAATGAAATGGTTCGGCATGCAGGTGACTCAGTGGTTAGGTCACACGACCCATCTAAGGAGGCCTTAGTCCTCGACGCGGGCGACACGGGTTTGAATCTGACCTTTGGTCCTTTGCCGCATGTCTCTTCCCCTGTCTCATACCCTAGGGCCGTGAAAAACTCAAAAAACAACAAAAAGGTTTATTTGATTTGCAATTTTTTGTAAAATGAGCAGAGGTTTAAATGTTACAAAGACAAAGGAAGAGACAAAGTACAACTCAGTATGTGTAACAAGATATGGTCAGTTTTCATCATCAGCTGGATTTTTGGAGTTGGCTGTAATGTTTGGACATGTTGGTTCAATCCGAATACCCCAAATTGTAGCTAATTGTAGCTCTCCTGTTGCTAGCTCCTATCCCTTCACCTTTAGTGGGTCAACATTAAGAACATTATCCAAGGTAGGAAAGGAGCTCAAGACTGCTATGGTGAATCCGAACACCTTTGAGCTTTATGGACGCCATTACATGGCACGCACATGATACTGGTCAAATTGGGATTATAACCTTCTGGAAATTAAATACAAAAACTAAAAAAATACACAAAGGAAGCAGCTGAAGCTCTCCTTCATATAAACAAAGACATGTAAAGGTAATGACAGTACACTGTGTCACACCCAGTTTCACTTCACACAATAATGTAGTTTTGTTCAACTCAGTGAAGTGGGGTGTGTCTATATGGTGTGTCACCCAAGGCATTGTGGGAATCGCTAAAACTCCTAGCGGCGGCCATGCAGAGTGCCTTTGGCGCTAAAAAACACTATTCATATAGCACTTAGAATGGCGACAGCGGACACACTTTCCTCCTGGCATCCCTAGCGATTTGAGGAATTCTGATCAAGCTGTTGATTTCAGTGGATTGAAGGTCTTATGAATGGAGGGAATAATGGATGGATGGATGGACGGATGGGTTGAAGGGCTTTTGGAATATATCAATTAAGAACTGCTTGAAGGTCTTATGGAGGAAGCTATTGTGTTTCAGAGGTCCTGCTTTCATCACTCACAACTGGCCCCAAGAGAAGCACAAACGATGGTATAGACATTATTATCATAGAGAAAGTAGTTTGGAAAGTGTTGACTAGAGTAAAACATTGGTGGTGTCGCTTGGGTGGAGTGCAAAAATAATTAGTCCTCAATGCAGTTGTCCTGACCCATAATGTAACCTTAACCCTAACCCACTTCAAACAGACCAGAATTAGCCCCTTCTTAGTTCAGACATTTTATGCAGGTGTGAATAAAGACCAGAGAATTCTGATCTGGACCAAACAACTACTCCAAAATAAACTCCAGCATTAATACAAACCTGGCCTCAGTCTGGCCCAAATGCAGAAAGCATGCGCATCACCGGACTTAGGAAGCCCCCACAGTGGTAAACATCTTTTAATTTCTTTTTTCTTTTACAGCTTTTATTGTCATTACAGTGTCACAAGTAGATAGCAACGAAATTCACTCTCTGCATTTAGCCTGTCCCCTTGCGGAGCAGTGGGCTGCCATTGTGCGGCGCCTGGGGAGCAGTGTAGGGTTAAGGGTTTTTGCTCAGGGACCCTGAGCTGTGGGAGTTGGGCTTGAACTCAAGCGCAATGCCCCTACCACTAGGCTGCCACTCCCCAAATCATAGTTATGAAATAATTTGTGTTATTCTTACTGCATTCCTGACACAGTCACAAAATCAAAACTAAAAAGCCTTGAAATCTACATTAAACAATTTGCTCTTGACACTCTGGAGTAAAGCTAATTGCCATTTCCTTGGAGCACAAATATATTTAATTTATTATATATTTAATAAAATTAATTTTGGTCTTACACCTGCTTCCTTCACAGTAGTTAGTTATATGGGATTATTACGGAGCAATTTTAATGTAGAAAATGGTACAATTTAAAAATAATAAATAGACTAAACTTCCAAACCATGGTGGACCTATTCTTACACGGACGATGGGAATTAAAAACTATTAAAAAGATAAAACATCATGACTTTGATAATGTTCTGGTTCTGGGAAAAGGTAATATTGTACTAAGTTCACTAAGTGCTGCAATGATTTGTGTAACCTAATCTAAACAGTGTACAGTGTGTAACCTAATCTAAACAGAATAGTAACATTTCTGATTTAATGTGTTACATCATAATAAATGTCAAATAAACTTAACACTAGAAGGTGCTTGCCAACATTTCTTCAGTTCTTTTCTGTAGAGTTTTATTATTCAGGATGAGCATGAAGTGCTTGGTGTTGATTCTACATTTTTCCCAATCTGCTGCTGAATTACTTCTAGCAAACATCATATTTTTCTCTTCCTGTCTGCAGCATCCTGGCCACGGTGGGTTCAGACTTTGACCTGAGAACTCTGCGAGCCGTTAGAGTGCTGAGGCCCCTAAAACTGGTGTCAGGGATTCCTAGTAAGTCCACCTGAATACTGAAATCAAATGAATGGCACAGATCATTTTCAAGCTCAAATCTAATTGTCTCTGTCTCCCACAGGTCTCCAAGTTGTCCTGAAATCCATAATGAAAGCCATGGTGCCGCTGCTTCAGATCGGCTTGCTGCTCTTCTTCGCCATCGTCATGTTCGCCATTATCGGGGTGGAGTTCTACATGGGGAAGTTCCATCAGTCCTGTTTCAAGCCTGGCGGTGAGGGCATGAACTTTACTTGATGAACATTCACAGCTGATTTCCTTTACTCTTTTATGTCAAAGGCATGATTAGATTACAGATATTAATGCTTTTCTCACAGCAGTAGCAGCACATGTAAAACTTATCCATATTATGTAACATTACAACAAACTTTCATGTATTATTTTGGCTTGATAAAGTTTAATATAGCTTACAAAAGTGTGATTTATGTGTCACCAACATATTTCCTCCTTACAATCAGTGTCTTTCTGTGCCATTCTGTTTCTTTCTTTTGTTCAGCTGAAAGAGTGGTTGACTGGCCATGTGGTTCCGAGTTACCAGCCAGGACTTGCCCCAATGGCACTGTTTGCCAGGAATACTGGACCGGACCTAATTTTGGCATCACCAACTTTGACAACATCCTGTTTGCAGTGCTGACAGTGTTCCAGTGCATCACTATGGAAGGCTGGGTGGACATCCTCTACAGTGTAAGTCTATAAACAAACTATAATTGTACAGATTGTTAAAACGGAGGCAGATATTTGTGCACCGTCGCAGAAAAATACATCCAAAATTCTTCTCTCCAAAGCTCATAGTAAATGTGTTGAAACGTTTCCTGTTTTAAGTCAGCTACAACATAATTATTAAAATGTGAAAAAAATGCCAATATAGGCTATTAAAAAAAAAGTTTTTTTTTACTTCAAATTCAAACAACTTGGGGTGGTGTTTTGTGTTTCTTTGTGATGCTTTTTGTTGGGTGTTCTGTTGCAGGATTGGCTGGTGCACCACATAATAAAGTGTTAAATGAGGGAAGGACATAATTTGAGGGGATTAATGCAGAATTTCAAAAGAATTAGCTACACCATTAATTTGTCTTCCAAATGACAATGACCCAAATCTTACTGCCAAATTTGCAACACAGGTGATGTAGAAAAACAGTCAATGTTTTGGATTGACCTGGAGCAGAGCTGAAGATCTGTTTTAGAGCAAAATGGATTTCAAAATCTGACTGAGTTACACCAGTTCTGAGCTGGCAAGAATTCTTGCACTGCTTCCTAATAAGAAGTAAATGAAGGATTAGCTATGAATTATTTAAGAGCAAAAATACAAAATTATAAAATCATTCTGATGTTTGGCAGATAAAAGAAACTTGGTTTATCTAAAATGCTCTGCAATCTGAGAGCTTTATTCTTCTATAATATCAGACAGTTAAAAATAAGCTATGTTCTTATTCTGGTTTAATTGTAAGTGAAATCAGTAATAAATTACTACGGTTAAATCAACAAAATTTGTGAAAAACCAGGATAAGAGAGGCCTGCTTTCTAAGGTAGTTGTAATCTGTTCATTTACATCGTGAGAGCTGCAGTAAAGTCTGATGTATGCAGTCACAAAGTTGCCATAGCAACCGTTAGATGCCATCTACCTGCCAAGCAGTCATTTCGTAGTAGGCCATAAATTTATCTTAAGGTACTTTATGCACATTCAGCAGAGATTGCAAAAATCCTTAAAGGTGTTGCTGATTCAGTTTTCCTTTATTCTAAAGAAATGTCTTGATTTTTAAAGAGTTTATTGTGATAGAGTAAATGTGCTCTCCAGTTTTTAATGTTTTTTATTGGATTCTTCCATCATAGTACCTCATTTACCATTCCAGTGTCTATCTGACTGTACTGGCCATTACTCATAGCCATGCCGTGCCTTCCTTTCCCAACTCCTTTAACATTTTATTTAAGAACTCTCTTTTGAGTTGCATCAGTTCCTGCATTTATGCCTTTATAAACTCAATCAAGACAAGGGGCAGTTTCAAATGTCAGAGCGTGATATGAGGTGTATTCTTTTTCTGGTTTGAGTTTAGATAACTGGGTCACTGGGTTTCCCTGCTTACAGGTATGACTTTCCTCTTTAACTCTCTGTTTGCTTATCTAAACATTAGCTTCATAGTTTTTTTTTTCATGCCAGACAAAAAATATGATTGTGTCTGTTAAAAGAAAACTCTGTAACTCTAAAAAGACAAATAAATCCCCCCTGGAGGATGAGGGCTGCTAAGTCAAGCAGAATTAAAAACGGCAAAGTGTTTGGACCAAAGTCCCCCTCTGGCTCAGAATTTTATCTGTTTCATGATTTGTGCTGAATTTCTCAAGACATAATAACAAAGAATGCAGGCAAACTTTCATTTAAAGGACAAAAAATCTTTATAGGGATGAAAGTCGTGCTGGGCAGTACTCGAGTTGACCATCCCCCAAACTATCCCCTGTGACATTTTATTACTGAATGTGTAAAATGTCTACTATATATTAACAGTAATGGCAATAATATTGCCCTTTCAACATTCGGCTGGCTGTGGGCTTACGAGTAGCCTGAGCTTTATATATAGAATCAAATAAGTGGCCTACCATGGCTATGACTCCGCCAGATGGTTTTGCTCCGCATATCCATCTGGAAACCTTCCGTTGAAGTAATTTTAGGAAGGGACGAAAATACTGGTTAGCTGATTGGCCTATGTTGGTGATAGACGGGCCAAATAAACCAATCAGATCAACGAAGCATATGACGTACTAACAGAGCGACGACGAAAACACAACCACAAGCCAGGCACAAGCCAATTGATACATCAAACTCTTGCCGAAACCAGTCGGGAGAAGAGCAAAATCATCTTTTCCTCTGAGAAAAGCCTACAGAGCAGTGTTTTGCTCTTCTTTCAGTGAAGAAATACTCTGTAATTCCGATAAAACTTGCTCAATAGCCACGCTAACGCTAGTTTCATCGGCTGAAGCTGCCATGTTCTTTAGACTGAACGGTCGCGCTTCTCGTTGCGTAACACCTCAACCCGCCTCAAAGCCAACGCTGATTGGACGTTCGTTTGGTGAACGGCTCCAAATTCTCTTTAATGGAGTCTGCAGACTGATTTGCGAGTGAAACCTTGAAAGCTCGCAAGATCAGGATGGTCTAACGAGGTTAATAAAGCTGATCCCAATGGGAAATTTGTGCCTTAGTGCCTTAGTCAATGTCAATGACCGGCGTACCTGACATGTAACAACCACACCATGCATATTGCTTTAGGTTAAAATCTATATTAATTAGGCTATGTATGCTTCCAAAAAAAATTGTATAAGATTCCCTATCCCCCCTTTAAAAAAAAAAAAAACTAGACTACTGGTGCTAGGTATAATTAAATGTATGTAGATTTGTTTATTTTTATATTGTGTGAAATTATATCGTGCAACAGTGAGACAGGAATGCAGTGATATCTTTAGTTATACTGAAAGTAAAATCCTTTTGAGGTTTTTATTTAGTTGTTTGCAGGAGCAAAAGTTGATTACATAAAAAAAAGAAGAAAAAAAAAGAATTGCGAAGAATTGAAGGTATCTTTTTAGATGTAAGTTCATGCGTGTCACGTGGAAACTAACCGTTGGGGGTTAGTCTCTCCCAGCCCATAAAATGCCTCTGCCAGTGTAGCATAGCATAGGAGATGCTGACTTCAATTGCTTTTTTTTTTTTAGAGATCTATCCTACTGCCTTCATAGTGTAACTATGTTACACTGCATGAAAAGTGAGATTTTCGTCTCCGTAAACTCCCGCAGATCTGCCTGATTTTCGTCAGTTTCCGACAATTTGCAACCCGTGCTTGTCCGCGTTTGTCGTGCCACAAATTGTCGGAAACGTACCATGACGTATGTGGAGAGTGATTTGCTGTACTAATGGCCCTAATTAGCATATGAATACAGCAAACCCGCGCGGCTGGCCAGGTCTGGCTTGAATAACCTTCTCAGTATTGGCTGAAACCACTATTCTCAAACAAATGAAATCGCTCGTGATTGGCAGCAAAACCACACGTGGCCACGCCAGGCTTTAATTTTCTTACTGAGTATTGGACGGAACCACTTCTTTTTAAACAAGTAAAGTCGCTCGTGATTGGTTGGCATATATATATATTTACATATAAATTTACATATATATATTTATTCATATATATATATATATATATTTATTTATTCATTCATATATTTATTCATTCATATGGTGTGTATTTATGTTATCCTACACTACTACACAATTATTATGCTCCCATCAATGACATGAATGAATTTATACAGGAAATGAAGATTTGCCAGGAAGCTGTTTATGCAAAGAAAGAGCTTTATTAAAACACACACAACTATATACAACGCATGCGTTTCTAAAAATTAAAAGTCCGTGAACGGTCCGTTTGCTTCCTCGGGGTTGGAGGTAACTGGCAGCATTCCCTCCGAGGCAGGTCCGATGTGCAGACGCCTACTGTGCGTGGCCCTGTACTTCGGCATCGCTTCTAACCGGGACTGCAGCTTAACACAGAGTTCAGTGAGATCCGGCCTACGAAATGGCGGCGACCGTACAATCCATCCAGAGACACCGCCGAGGAAGGCGGACTTCCAGAGTTCCACTTCCTCATCTGCTAGCACACTCTGCCTCGCTTTCAGCAGTTGAAAAAAAAACAATGAATCAGCGCACTGCGTATGGACACAACACATCTATCAATGCACCTGAAAAATAGTCACCAAATAAAGTCTTACCCTCTTTCTTCTGGCCCGACTCCGAGCAGATAGCCTCCGCACGCAGCATGTTGGCTGGCTGCGTATATCTGAAGCTCCTGCGTACCGTCTGAAAATACGTCTTACAGGCAGCTGGAAAACAATTAAATGAGAGTGGTATAAATAAAAAATCAAACGCAAGTCACAGTAACAAGGAAGGAGAAAACATTAAAACAAGTCACTTACACACAATGTCGTCTTTATCAACATTGTGCAAATCTGGACTTGCCGAGATGGCTCAGAGCAAATAGGAGGTCTGTGAAAACAAAATGTACATCTATGATCGGTATCCATTTCCTTTTACCGCAGAATGAAAGCATATTCTTTAAATCTTACCCTTGCTCCGGTTCATAGCGCCTGCAATTAGTCTCCGAGTTGTTAAGACGGCGTACTGCTTCCTGTGAATCACAAAAAATACACTTTAATAAAGCTTGTTCTTGCAAGGCTACTATTAGCCGCTATTAGCCGTAGCTCAGGCTAGGCCGCTTTTAGCTTAGCAGGCAGTAATCAAACATATATTTACCGCTAGCATCTCTTCTTTGAGTTCGTCTTGTTTGATGCAGAGTCGCCATCGCGTCCAAGAGGAGTTTTACCCCGAAATCCCACATACTCCGCTCCAGACCGCCTGCACAAAGCAAAGCATACATCCTCCACTGTGGATCCAGCCCCGCCGCTCTGAGTTTCTTGGAGATCGTACAGAGCATGCGCGAGATGAACCAGGGTGTCCGCGGATCAATAAAAATAATTAAAAAATCATTCTTTTTTTTTTTTTTGTCAAGGCCTTAATTGGCACTAAAATTATTTAAATATGTTTATCGAAGTATTTATAATTCTTTCATAAAAAATGCTTATAAAAACAATTTCGTCAGATATATTATATCGCTCCAGGCGGAGAAAAAGCTAGAGGATATATATATACGTATATATGTGTGTGTATGTGTGTGTGTTTACATACATACAGGAGTCATGGAACTCTGCTTACAGCTCCTTCATATTTCATGTACACTAATAACTTGTGTACATGGTTCTTGTTGATGGCATTAAAATCATTTCAAATAGCATTAAAATAGCATTAAATTAGAGTCACTCATTCCTGTATGAACCCTGTGAGCGCTTAATTTAATATGACATATTAAAAAAATCCCACCATCATCCAGCATATGTTCAGTTTCTGCCCAAATATATATATATATTTTTGTAGATTTTTGTAACGGGGATAAGGATAATTCAAAACTGCTT